TTTCTTTCTCTCTTTCTATCAATCCTTTTCTTTGGGAGAGGTTTTTGCTATAGGGCGATGTGCTTACGAGAAAGGCACAAAGAAACAGAGAGACAGAAGGTGAGAAATCACCCCCCGGCGGGATGGACACACCGCAATTAAGCCACCGGGTCTGGGACTCGAACCATGGTTGACTCTGTGAGAGTCCAACAACATAGCCATTATGCCAACTGCTGGTCCCGACCCTCTAGAAAAGTTTAAAAAGAAAGCTGGAAGGAAGACACAGAGGCTTTGTGGGGGCCGGGAGGCAGGGGATGTTTGGAGGCTGTGTGTTTGGAGGAGAGGAAGCCGCTGTGCGAAGGCCCTGAGGCCGGGCACGGATTGGCCATTGTGACTGCAGCCTCCAGAGGGGGAAAATGGGAGGCAGTGACAAGGCCTAGGGGACAGGGCCGTGTGGGCTCCCCTACAGGGGGGCCCCCAGCTTTGCTCTGAGCTGGGTTGAAGCCAGGAAGGCCTCTGAGCCACAGAGAAAGGAAGGGCTGACTCGGCTGCTCAGAGTCGCCCCCTGGTGGCTGTGGGTGCAAGGGCCGGAGCCAGGGTTCTGGAGGTGAGAAGTGGGTGGCCTTGGGGCCATGTTTACTGGATGTCTGAGTGGTCGCTTCTGGCCTTTGCCCTTTTCACAGAGACAGATGGTGAACCTGGAGGATGACGTGGCCTGAACAGCCCCCTGGCCCTGGCGATCCCGCTTCCACTGAAGGCAGAAGAGTCCTTTCTCCGCCGACCCTCGACTCCCTGCCCAAGACCTCAGTGGCCTCTTACTCCGTTGGAAGGAAAGAAAACCCCGAAGTCTCCGTGGGCGCCTGGAGCGGAGGCCTGCCTGCCTGATCTTTGTTTTATATATTTATTTTTCAGGGAGGCAGAGCAGCTTCAGACAGCGCACACGCAGTGTGTTGGGGTTGGCTTTTTTTTTCCTTCCTTTATGGAGGAGGAAGGGTTCGAGGCTTATGGAGTGGATCTGCCATCTTGGTTTCCTTCTGGGATGTTCTGATTTTCTATCTGCCTTAGTTTACCCTTCACAGGAAGGACACCAGGACAGGGAGACATGGGCTGAGAGATGTGAGTGACCTGGGACACCTGGTGGTGGCAGGTGCTACCGCCAGGGTCCGGGCACAGCTGCGCACCCCGAGCCCAAGCTCCTAAACTCAGGAGTGACTGCCCCCTGCAACCTTGCTGGACAGCCATTTGCCTTCGCCTGCCTCCCCTGGTCAGCACTGACCCTTGTTTCAAGCCGGGTTTGCACCCTCCAGGAAGGGACTCAACAGCCAATCCTGGGTGACAGTAACAGATACCAATTTATTCGCCAAAAATGCACCAGTTCCCGGAGGGAGAGCCCGCATCACCGGTCGCCCTTAATGTCAATTAAGTGCCTGAAACACCGGTTCACCTTGCATGAGGATACGTGGCCTTCGCTTCTAAGACGTCCTTCAGCCCTGGGGTTGGCTGCTGGACCCCAGCCTCGTGCCCACCCCCTCTCCAGCCCTTTCCACATGAAGCCTGCACTTTTCCGCGGTGGCCTCCTTGCGCCTTTTCAGTTCAGGGTTGAACGTTGTGTATATCTGGTTTGTGTGCGTGTCTTTTGCACTGTTATGTGTTGTACGGGTGGGGATGGGGTCCCAGGCTGGAGGCGGCCCGAGTCCATGAACATGGGCTACCATCCATGCCCGGGGAGGACAGGCGTTTGCCTGGACTTCAGGGCCCGATGGTGATTATCGGGAGCTACCATTTTCTTGACGTCTGCTTGACAAGTGTCCCCACCATGTTTTTGTTGATTGCCAGATGGTGCGTGTGCTCGCCAGAGAGAAACAGAGAGCGGGAGGGAGACAGCACCCCCTAGTGGGGCATGGTCAGAGCCACAGTCCCTTCTCCATTTCGATTTGGGGCATGAATGCGCAAGCGCCCTGTGTATTTCTCAGGGTCAGGATTCCAGCTGCAGTTGGCCACGTGGAACTTGGCTCACTTAACCAGGTTACAGGGTCAGCCTCTTTTCTTATTTTTTAGGTTTTGGTCATGAGACACATGCGCTTGCCAGAAAGGAAGACAGAGAGTTTCAGAGAGAGGGAAAGTGAGAAATCACCTCTGCAGGGGGGTGGCCATGCCACAATCTCTTCTCCTCCCTTCTCCTCTTGCGATTTTGGGCACGCACGTACATGTGCCCGGAGTGATTTTTCAAACTATCGGGTCCAGGACTCAAATCGTGGTCAGCCATGTGAGATTCCAGCACCTTAACCACAATGCCTCCTGCTGGTCCCATTCTTCCTTTCTTTCTTTTTCTCTTTTTTTTGGTATAAGACGTGTGCACTTGCCAGAGACAGAGAAAGCAAGAAAGCAACCCCCAGGAGAGATGAGTGTGTTGCAAATTCCTTTTTCCTCCTCCTCTCAGGATTTTGGGCATGCACGTGTACACGTCCAGCCTCCGGGTCTGGGACTTGAATGATACAGTTAGCCATGCGGGACCCAGCGGCCTTAACCACCGTGCCACCAGCTGGCCTCCCGCTTTTCTTCTAACAGAAAGCCCTGCTCAGTAAGTTCTAGCCGTCCTTCCTCCATCCCTCCTTCCCATCGGGACCCTGGGCACTTATGCCCCAGGCTGGGGATCTGAACTGTGGTCAGCCCTGTGGGGCCCGGCTCCCTCCACCCTGCACTGAACCACTACACGACTGGGCCAACCCTGTGTTCCCACTTCCCTGCAAATGCCCCAGAGCCGTGAACTCCCCCACCAGACAGTGGTGGTCACTGATGGGGTGCATTCAAATGTGGGTGACGGATCAGCTCGAAGGAATCCTCCATCTTGTCTTTTTTTTTTTTTTTAAGGTTTTTTTTTTTGTGTGTGTGTGTGCTACAGAGTGTGTGCACTTGCCAGACAGAGAGAGAGAGAAAGTGAAAAATCCCCCTGGGGGTGGGTGGCCACGCCACAGTCCCTTCTCCTCCATTCTCTTCTGGGGCTTTTGTGTACGCGTGCACACGTGCCCCCGTGTGGTTCCCAAACGATCAGATCCAGGGCTCGAACCACAGTTGGCCACGTGGGTTCCAGCCACCTGAATCTCCACGCCACCTGCTGGCCCCGTCCCGGCCACTCAGTGGGACTTAGAGAACAGGAATTCTTCCCCAAATTGCTGTGTATGTTGTTGTCGCGTTTATGACCAACGGGATGACAGTGACCTCTGCAGGAAGTCTTCATCGTTCACTACACAGTCGTGAAACGCCGTCCCCCGCCACCCCCAGGGACCTGTAATGGCCACTCCCCTTCAGAGCCCTGTAAGAGTGTGGGGCTTTTTGTTGTGTTTGAAATGTGTATATTTGTTGAAATAGTTATACATATATATATATAAATCTATTTATTTTTGCAAACCCTGGTTGCTGCGTTTGTTCACTGAATCTCGGGACGGGTTTCTGCATTGGGGTAACGGTCTCCGAGGCGCCTCGTCTTAATGTACAAAGACGTTTTGCACGGACAGGGCCGGTGGGCGCTTCGGAGAAGGGAGTCCGTGTTGTGGCCTGGGCTGCTTGTGAGGGGGGGGGTCACCTTTGGAACCACTGTATGGAATGTTTTCACAGCCTGAATGTCTTACTGTGATTAAATTTCTTCCATGAATCTTTTGGTTAAATCTGATGCCATTTCTTCTGTTCACTGGCTTCTTCTTCTTCTTTTTTTTATTTATTTACATTTGTTTCTTTTTTTTTTTAATTTTTGTTTTTTATCTTTGGAGAGGCTTTTGCTATAGAGTGTGTGTGCTGGCCAGAAAGAGAGAGACAGAGAGACAGAGAGAAATCACCCCCCAGAGGGGATGGCCACGCCGCAGTCCCTTCTCCTCCATTCTCCTCTTGGGATCTTGGGCACGCATGCACATGCACCCGGTGTGAGTTTAAGCCACTGGTCCGGGACTCGAACTGTGGTGGACTACATGGGAGTCCAGCGACATAGCCATTACGCCATCTGCTGGTCCCAATTATTATTATTTTTTAATTTGATCAGAGAGAGAGAGACAGAAAGGAAAAGTGAGAAAGCAAGCCACCAGGTCCGGGACTTGAACTGTGGTTAGCCATGTGGGAGTCCAGCGCTCTTAACCACCATGCCACCTGCCATTCCCTGGCTTCCTCTTTAATGAATTGGGCTCCCCCAGAGAAGGATTCAGAAAGGGAACTTTTTTTTTTTTTGAGAGAGATTTTTGGTATAGGGTGTGTGCAATTGACAGAGAGACAGAGAGACAGAGAGATAGACAGAAAGCGAGAAATTACCTCCTGGGGGGGTGGCCATACCCCAGTCTCTCCTCCTCCATTCTCCTCTTGGGATTTTGGGCATCCACACACGCGCGCCTGGAGTAAATTTTACGCCGCCGGGTTCAGGACTTGAACCATGGTCGACTAGGTGGGAGTCGAGCGATGTAATCATTATGCCATCTGCTGGACTGTTGCCTAGACGGCATGTGCACTCGCCAGAGAAAGGAGAGGGACTAAAGCAGCCCCACGCAGCACGGCCAGGCTGCAATCCCTTCTCCATCTTTTTCTCCTTTTGGGATTTGGGGCACAGGTGCAGGGCATCTTTCTCAAGCCGATGGGGTGGGACTTGAACTGTGCGGTCGGGCATGAAGAATCCACTTGCTTTAACCTCTAGGCCACAGAACCAGCCCCAGAATTTTTTCTTTTAAGAGAGATTTTTGCTGGGCCAGCAGGTGTCGTGGAGGTTGAAGTGCTGGATTCCCACATGGTCGCTCACGGTTCAAATCCTGGACCTGGCATCTTGCTTTCTCACTTTCTCTCTCTCGTCAACTTGAAAAATGATAAATAAAATAAATAATTCTAAAAAAAAGAAAAAGAAAAAAAATATTTTTGCCATAGAGCACATGCACTCACTGGAGAGAGCAAAAATTCGCCCCGAGTGGGGAAAGGCCACGCTGCAATCCCTAATCTTCCATTCGCTCAGGATCTTGGGCACACACGCGCATGTGCCTAGCTTGAGTTTTAAGCCACTGGGTCTGGGACTCAAACTGTCAGAACCGGCCCATCACTATATTGTAAAATATTCTAGAAGACTTTGTTAGCTATGATTTTTCTTTTTTATTTTATTTTATTTTATTTATTTTATTATTTAACTTTATTTATTTGACCAGAGAAGAGGGGAGAGAGAGAGAGAGAGAGAGAAAGTGAGAAAGTAAGAAGCAAGCCGCCAGGTCTGGGACTTGAACCATGGTGGGATCCCAGCACCCTAACCACCATGCCACCTGCTGGACACAATTATCTGTGATTTTTCTTTCTTTTTTTTTGGAGAGGTTTTTGCTATGGCGCATGTGCTCACCAGAGACAGAGAGACAGGAAGCGAGAAATCACCCCCTGGGGGATGGCCACGCTGCAATTCCCTCTCCTCCATTCTCCCCTCGGGATCTTGGGCACGCACGCCCATGTGCCCGGCATGAGTTTTAAGCCACCAGGTCCGGGACGCGAACCGCGGTCTATTACATGGGCGTCCAGTGACATAGCCACTACGTCAACTGCTGGTCTCTATTTGTGATTTTTTTCAAGACTCTGGGTCCAGGACTCAAACTGTGGTCCGCCATGTGGGGATCCAGAACTTGAGCCATCTGGCGCCACCTGCTGGCTGTGTAGAAGACTGGATTTTTTTTGTGTTTTACGTGGAGAGATTTTTGCTATATGGCATGCGCACTTGCCGGAGGCACAGAAACAGAAAAGACACCGCAATCCCTACTCCACTCTCCTTTTGGGATTTTGGGCACGCATGCCCAAGGTGAGTTTCAAGTCACCAGGTCCAGGACTCAAACCAGTATTGTAGGGGACTTTTAAACAGGGTCATCAGACAGAAAAGTGACCAACAGGGAGGAGGCTCCTTCCTTTAGGGAGGAATCAAGGAGGGCTTCTCAAAGGAGGTCACAATCGGGCTGAATCCAGAAGAAGGAAAAAGAAAGGGCCCCCTGGGGATTTGGAGAGGGGCGAGTGGGGTGAAGGCACAGTCACCCTGGCTGGGCTCCCCCGGCACCCCAGAACACACAGTGGCAGGTCCACAGACCTTTCCCCTTGGGCTCCTGGAGTGGATGGCAATGGTAAGGCCAAGGGAAGGCCCCGACCCAGTGGTTTGAAAATCACACACGGGGGGGGGGGGGGGGGGGGGGGGGGGGGG